GTGGCTATTGGCTCGCCCAAGTGCTCCGCTGGAAAACAGACGCTCCAGACTCCTAAGAGTGTGGGAACCACGCAGGAAAGGGGGCCGCATGGTTTTAGTACAGTACATAAGACAAGTAGTCTATAGACCGCGCTTCCAAAGTGGGTAGAGCCTCCCTCTCGCCGCTACACCGAAAATAAACAGCGCTAAACAAGGTCTGAAAAGAGCTCATTGTACAATTCATAAGATCCCGCGATTAAGTTATCCTGCGACTTGGCCCTAAGTACCTTCCAGATACAATAGCGCGCCTCAAATGTAATCCACTTCGGTGCCTTTACTGCACACTGCAACTCTGCTACATCATGCCGCGATAATGGCGCTTCGGGCGCACTTCCAGTCTTGTAGGTGTCGGCGGAAGTCGGCATGCGGGACGTGCATTCGTGTGTTGTTTTGAAAGAAACCAAGCTAAAACCTGCCTTCCCGTCAAAACGCCGCGACTGGGGCCGTACCAAAGGAGCCGGGAAAGGTGCGAAGATCAGTTTTTACGTGTTTTCTGCCTGCTCATTAAATCCGAGAACGTGGGTGCCGGGGAAAGGAAAAACCAGATACTGTCGGACAACGATTGTTTGTGCGGGAAGCACTCTTGGTTGAATTCATGGATACTTGTGGTCGTCAGATTTATTTGTTTTGTTCCAACATGAACGCGGGAAAACCGTCAAGTTGTTCGGACAACCTGCAGACTACGTTCAGTGCGTGTTCAAGCTCAAACGGCCACCTGATCGTTCAAACTGTCGTCTGCTCTTTCAAACTCGTTCAAACTTTCGTCTGCTCATTAAAAAAAACATCGGCCAGTAGACCAAACGTTGCGATAAGAAGTAAGTGCAGGCCTCGAAAAAACTTATAAGTTTGAAAGTTGTTAAGTAGGCTCGGTGTAGACAGTATGATACAAGATATTCATCCTTGCCATCACCGATTTGTTTTGCCTGATTAACTTGGACCGATTCCGCTTGCGACTTTCAGTATCAACGTCGGGCATCGCAGCTACCGTCCACGCTTTGGCAGCCCCAGCGGCTTCACGACTGTAAATAGCGAGCAGAATCTCACCCGAATCAGGCTTTAGCGATCGTTCTGCAACGTTCACGCGGAAGGAATGGCCGCACGTCCCATCATTGACGCCAAGTTTTGCCGTGTAATGAGCCTCGTTAATTTCGCCCAGACCACTAAAGTACCAATGCTTTGCTAGGTAAACGTAGAATCAACAATTTAAACGTGAAAAAGAGCCCTAAAACTAACATCGACGCCGACAACATCACATACCAATGGTTTGCGGACGCGAGACGCGACGCTTGCCCACAACCCATTGCGCATGCGCGGCGCCGGTGGCGTGCCGCTAGAGGCGCTCCGGTTTGTTTGTAAGCATGAGTTGGTGTATAAGTATCCCTCTTTGCGGTTATTTATGAGTGATACTGTGGTACACTAACTATACTTTGCCGACCATTACACCAAAGCGACACTCCCCCACCACCCCCCACCACTCACGCGCAACGAAAAAAATAAATAAAATAAACACTCTAAGAAACGCCGACCACCTTGAAAGCACGTCACGGTTATAGATAAGACGGAAAACATAATTCCGCGAACCTTCCTTCCCTCCCTTACTTTAACACCACCAGAATGTGTTCGCCGGTAAAAGCCCTAAGCATGACCGACGCCACCTGCATTTCGCCCGGCACTAAGTTGACAGTGCGGTGAAGGCTACGCGCTCGCTCGACTAATGAGCCGCGGTCCCTTGTACCACGTGACCCCACTTTGTGCGCTTGGGTAAAAGCTGGAGCGTCGTCATCACGTGGCAAAAAAATGAACGTTTGACTGGTCCAACGGGCACGATACTTCCACCGCACTGTCAACTCATTCGATGAACGGAGTGTTGTAAAAAAAAAAAAAAAAAGGAAAAAAAAAGTAAGAGAGCCGAGAACAGGTCTTTAATCGACGGTGCCTCATGTCATGTTGGAACGCGCGAAAGCCGAGAAGGGGTGACTTGGGTTCCGCGAAGGTCTCCCCGACCCGTTCATTGTACGCGGCCTCGGAGGGGGCGTTTTGTCGGCGATGTCTAAGTTAGCCGGTTTTTTTTTTGTGATTGCTGTGTTTTTTTTTTTCTTTTCTGTCTTGCGTTGCTTACATACGGTCGCCCAGAACCCATTTCTTTTGCGGCCTTTCTTTAGACAAAACAAGGATAAAATATGTTGCGATCATTAAACCAGTTGCTGGAGTGCCGAGCCATGAAACAGGCAGTAAGCTTACAAAGAAAAACGACAGAACTATATCAGCGTTTGTGGCAATTACTTATCCTCGTTACGTTAATTTTATTGGGTGTTTTATGCGTTTCCGTTTTGATGTAGGCGTATGCATACGTGCGGCATAGCGCTCCAAACCAAGAGTTTCAAGCGCTCGGCGCACTTAGGCCAATTTTATGTCGATAAAGCTCGGTTCTATCAATTCACGGTAGGGTAATTTTCTTAATGATGTTACGCGAGTTGCGTTAATCTTGTAGTCATATGTATATCACATGTCTTGTATACGTTGGCATACGTTGGGGGAGGAGAGAGAAAATAAATAGCGGATTGACCTGGACGAAACCGCACTCGGGGATTAGCAGAATTGCACATCTTGCGGTACTATCCTTTACGTTTTCTGTGTAGTCGGTAAGAGGCTAAGAGAAAAGTGGAAGCTCCGCCCACCTCTTTCCACTTTAACAGAGTGAACGCTGGAGAGGGGGCGACCTCCTCTCCAGAATTCGCTCTGCTAAAGGGGGAACAGGTGGGAGGAGCGTTTTCTAAACTCTTAAAGAGGCACTGAAGTCGATTCTGAGATTGTCCTTTTGGGGTAACAACTCAATCTAGACACTCTAAACATCCCAACAAACCCGAAATTATAATCGTGCGTAGCTTATTTCCTCGTTAAAAGCGTGTTCAAAGATCGCGACATGCCCTTTTTGGGAAGAATTTTCTTCCGAGTGAAGTGGTCGACGAGGGGCGCTTGTCGGCGAGTTGCAAGCGATGGCTTAGCCCGCGGAGAAAAAGAGGAGTCTTATCCGAATGTCTACCTATCAGACTCTCTCCGAACCGAACTGTAACAAAATCATTCGGAATCTGCGCGTATTTTAGGGCTTTCATTGGTCCACACAATGTAGTCCGCAAGAAAAAAAGAGTCCACATGCCTTTCTTTTGCCCTGAGATGAACGGGGGGGTTTTGTAATATAGGACTTGATAAATGTGAGAACTAACATATTTTTAAACAATATAAGATTAAAAACGACCTTTTCCAAATATGACTTCACTGCCCCTTTAGCCTGTCACCAACTATAGTTTGATTCAGCTTCTGATATTTTTATCTGAATGTTTCCCAACAAAATGTTTCGGGGTTTTTGTTGACCCGACTGTCCTGCTTCTGCTCTTTGCACATGAAGCGATCCTCTCAATCTCGATGACATGCCCCTAGCCCTTTTATCTCGTGTCCTTGTCTGTTCCAATATAAAAACTGAACAGCTGCCGAGGCTCTGCTTCTGAATCCACAAAGAGAAATGGCATTACGGTGATTCACTGAGTAACAACGCACAATTAACACAGAATGTATTTTATCAGACGTTTTCTATGAAAAAATCGTCATGAGCGAGAGTCATGAACAAGAGTCGTGAACGAGCGTCGTGAGCGAGAGACACGCTGGGAGTTAACATTACACAATCCAGTTTCCATGCTAAATTTAGCGGAGGAATAAACGTCACGTGACGTCATGTGACGTGGCCAATAAGATGATCCTGTTTCCCCGCAATATTTAGGGGAGAAAATCGACGTCACATAACTTCATGTCATGTACTACCAATAATATCATACAGTTTCTCCGCAAAACTTTACGAAAAAAAAAATATATAAAATGAACGTAAAAAATTAAAATAAGGGAACCAATAAAAGCAATAAAATCGAAACAAAATTATTACATGTGTGTTTTGTGCGGGACACATTATGTACTCCCTGGTCTTTGTCAACATAATCAAGCTCCCGTATTTATTTTTTGACGTCAACAAAAATAAAACCGTCAGATCCCTCTTCCTTTTTTTTTTTTTTTGCTTTCTTTTAACCTTGGCAACCTCAAAAATAAATCCCCACCCAATGACCAACGCTCCTCAACACTCAAGGACAATAAGCAAAGGGAAAAGAGTCAATATTACAGTATTTCCGCACTTTGCATTTTTGTTTTCTAACCAACCTGATCGTATTCTGAGTGTTGTCATTTGCTACGATCCTTCCGTTATTCTCCTGCGTGTGATCGTTAAAAAAACGAACACTTTTGTTACAGGTCATATTGCTACTCTAAGCCAGTGATATTAAACGTCATAGTTCAAGGTAGGTAGACGTTACAGAGTAAATACATACGTACAGAGCGCGACACTGTCAACACGAACAAGCGATGGCCGGTTTTTCCAGTGTTTCTCTTTAAAACCAAGAAATGTCATTAAAAAAAAAAAAAAAAAGAAACGAGACGTTCTTTTTTCCTGTTTTCTACTTCGACCAAGTTTCCCTGCTTTTACCACAGTCTCGGGTTTTCTACATCATGTCATTCAAGTTATTATTTGCTATGAAAAGAACTCATTTAGTTCTATAATGTGAGCAATAAAATTTTGTGCTCGCTATTACTATTTAGGAGTCAAATGCGAAAATGCGCCGATGTCATGTTCGCGCTAACAGTGTCGCCGTGTGTACAACAAACAAAAAATAGGTCTTTTCACGTAGCTATTAACCTATACAGGTGTGGCCCATTAAACCACGTGTGAGTTTCATAATACCGTCTCTGCTCGGCGTTTAGGGCAAAAACATCGTTTTTAGGGCAAAAACGATGTTTTTTCCCTAAAATTGCGAACGTACGAGCGTCTCGCTCGACGCGCGAACTCGGACGTTTTACGCCATTGCGGTTAAACCCTGTCCGCTAATATGCTGGTCCCTTTGTTTCGTTTCTCCGTGCCGCAGGGATCTCCGGCCTTGCAGCGCCCAAGAGCTCGGCCAACAGCTCGAGGTCGGGTTCGCCGCACACCGGGTCCTTCATCCCTCAGCCCAAGGCGACCGTGATCACCCGGGACCGGAACACCTCGGACAGGTCGAGGTACGTCACGCCGGGGTGTGCCAAGCCACCCGAAATGCTGATTCACACATTTGCGTCCGTCACACTTTCGCAAAGATAATATAAGTTGATGGCCCAGTGTATTAAACATCACATAAACAATTAACTCAAAATCCCAAAAAAAAATTTTATTACTTGTTTTTTTTGCTAATTTTTATTAATTCTTCATTTTAATAATTATATTTTTAACAACTTAAAAAAATTCCAACTATATATCTTCTTCTCTTTCCAAATCATCCGTCGTTTTCTTGTGTTTTTTGTTTTGTTTTTGTTTTTGTTTTTTCCAGGTTTACTTTTTATCATTGTACTTATCTTTTCATCAAACGACCGTTGAAAGTACCGCTTGTCCTGTCCAGGTTCAGTCCCCACCCTGCCCGTTTCGATCTGGGTGATCACATCGTACCATCGTGAGTTTTTGCGTAACCACTACTGCGCGGTACCCGCTGAAGATCCCAGGGAGTAGCGGTCGTACTGCACCGGCTAGATCTCTTATCTACAGTGGGTAACGACGTCGCCATACTTGGGCAGACTAAACTCGCACTGTATAAAGAAATACCGACTCGTATGTTTGTCCTGTCCTGTCTTCTACTTGTCCTGTGTATCTCGCGTTAATCCTTTTTGCCACACATTTGCGTTCGAGTGTGATGGAGGTCGTTGCGGTAAACTTGCAGCCGCTTAACAGCCTGTATTACAGAGAGTCTCCAACTCCTCGGTCGGGGGTCACGTGGTTTGTGAGCCGCGTCTGCAAGGTGCGAGGAGGTGACGAACGCGCGGATCGTCTGCAAACGCCCCCGCCTTTCCTCCTGCTTTCCTGTTTTCCTCCTCGCCACGTGACAATGCAGCGCCTGCGCACCGGCGACCAGTCGCAGCAGGAGGTGTCCGCCATTTTAAAGGGATACTTCAACGAAATTTGAAATATATCCGTTGTGTCGAAAAATAGGCGGAATATGATCCACAATATCCGTAAATCACAATCGCACGTTTGTATTTCGAGCCTGGTAGGCTGTATTTTTTGTTATAAACGACCCACTCTAGCAAGCGCTCGGACAAAACCCAGCTTAGAGCACGTGACATCCGACGCAATTGTGACGTAGTTCGTCTCGGGACGAGCAAAGCTACGGCGAGGCTGACGTCGAGGAGATGGTTTAGTCATTCCAGCCACCGAAGCGGCTGCGTTTGTACGAATATTGAGTGAGGGGTTAATCTTTTATAATCTGGTAGGGGGACAATGGCTACTTCTGGAACACACAAAAGGGACTTTTCTCGTCGTGGCCGGAGGCGCGACACTCACCGTCACTAGCTCTCAAGGTTCCTAGACGGGCATTACAAACGAGGCGTTAGCGACATCCACCAGGTGCTCTTTGCTAATCGTTTATTTCGTTTTAAAATTCCTTTTCGTGACTTTTTTAACAAGATATTGGTATGTTCGATGTGATACTGCTCCTTTGAACACATATGGACCATAAAATAGGCGCCGAAATTTCGTTGTAGTATCCCTTTAAATTGCGAACGCTCCCCATGGTTTGAGATGAATTCTCTTTTCAATCTAGGCTCTCTACTTAACACACTGGCACACAGGCGCCATCTATCGGCTAGCCCTGGCTGAAACCATTTCCATCAGCGTATATATTTCCATCATCTTTACGCATCATTCTTTCACAATGGACTTGCTGGTATAATTCGGACAAAGTCACCAGAGACCATTTCTCATAAATGTCGCAGATTTGATATTGCAAATACCGCAAAATCCCCAATCTACACTCTAAAAAAAAAAAAAAAAATCTTGTTGTAAAATTACTCTTAGGATTGATGAATTCAAACGTTATTTAAGAAGCAGGCGCAACTGAAAAATGCGATGTCCTTAAAAATACAATTGACCCTCTTCTTTCTTGAATCAAATATTAATTATATTGATAACGTGAACAAAAATTATGAAGTAGCCGGCGCCATTTTTAAGGTTGCCAATCTTTCCAAAACAACCAGTTACTCTTTCTCTCTCCCCATTCACTTTCTCTCTCTCTCGGTCTTTATTTATATCTCTCTCATTCACAACGCGTGTTAGCAATCATCTTTGAACTTAACAGGCCAGACCCAGAGGACAGCGGTATAGTAACTATTTGGTGTTCCTCTCCACGTCCCAGACCATCGTCTACGGCCTCCGCCTCGTCCATCTCCCACCTTCCTGTCAAGAGTGCCGTCGGCGTCCCCGTCAGGCAGCAACAGCCCGCAAGCGCCGCCAACGGCCACGCCGGGCACAAGGCAGCCGGCGCAAACAACGCCGCCAACGTCAGCCTCAACAACAACTCTATGCTCGACAAGTTCAAGTTCTTCAACTCCAAGGACAAGGGGGCCCACGACAAGTCCAAAGGTAGGTTTCGAGAACAAGCCTGAATGCGCATCTTAGCCTAACGTATGAAGTTCGAATGTCTTATAGTTCGTTTTTGCTAAAATTATTGTTTAATGTTGTGGTTGATCTTGTTGTTGTTTCGCATTTGGGTGGGAGGCAGAGGCAAAAGACTGCAAGCCCTGACGAGGGTCTGCCCCCTTACGAAGTTCTTGGCGCATGTCAGCGAGCACACAAAATCAACAGAACTTGATCTTGTTCGTTTGTTTGATTTTCCGTGGTGCATGTTTTTACCCTCACTCGCCATCAAAAATTTTTTAATGTCTTTCTTGAAATCGTGAAAGCAACAATTGAAGTTCATTTGTTCTTCCATGTTATTTCACAAATTAGGAATCTGGAGAGTAATTTTTTGTTTCTCATAATTAGTTCTGATTGTAGGGGTTTTCCAAATACTTTTCCTTCGTGCATACTCTGTATTACAACTTTTTGGAGTTAGGAATAAATGTTTTTGATGTGCTAGCTGAAGCATCGTATTATATATGTGTGTATGTGCAAACGAACAACCTAAGGCAAGACTAACAAGTATACATAATATTTTACGCTAAATTTAGCTGCTGTTTAGCTCTTTTTTTTAAAGATAAGGCTCAAAAGGCCAAGACAAGCCCTTATATAACAGATTCCCCGTTAAACAAAACACTCAAGCGTGTCTTTGCCTACTTGTACGTGATAATGAGGTGCAGCCAGGATATAATAATAGGTCACTTATGAAGTGGAGGTGTCCGTTCTAGTTGTTTACAGGGTTTGCTCTTCCTACCAGTTGGGTTTTAAACAAGCTGAAGCAGCCAGGGATTCGGTCACGGTGACCCAACATTATGTCCTAATACCCATTTTATCAGCACAGAAGACTGTAATGTATGCCCTGGTTGTTTCCTTTAGTAATCATCCCTAGAACAAATGACTCAAGAAATTTGTTCAGATGTTTTCCTCCACCTCAAAAATGGACTCTTCTAGTACGTAACCACACGTATATTCTAAATATAGTTGTATTGTTGTTGTAATCGTTGTTGTTTTGGCTGTAGACACAAATTTCTTCTTGCTAGTTTTCGACGCATTCTCGGTAGCTAAAAGTGACATCCACCGTCTTGTGTATCCTATCTACTGATATCGGAACATTCGCACGTTGGTATCATGAGGGAGCGGCAATTAGTACTATTGCATTGTTGCCAGACAGCCTTGCCATTGTTAGTTCATTGTCTGAATTGGCAGAACGCCGTCAATATGTGTGTGAAAAATACTGGTGCTAACCACACGCACCGGGGCTCAGAGTATTCAAACAGGGGCGGCAGTAACAGATCACGTGCAACGGCAATGCGCCAGCTGTGCCGACGACAAATGAACATTGTGATCAAGTCTGCAAGCCAGCAGAAATCACAAGAAGTATACTATAAAACTGGTGGGAGAAAACTGGGAAGAGGGGGGGGGGGGGGGGTTTACATCAATAATTCTTAAAACTCTTAATGTTCTTTCTTTTAGTTTTTTTTTTAGGTTGTGAACTCCCGATACAAAGGGTTCAGCCTTCTTAATGCGATTCAATCCAATCCAATCCACTTTCCGTCCGAAACCGCAGGCACAGCCTCAAGACGACCCAGCAGCAGCAGCGGACTCAGCTCTGCCAGGAGTGAGAAGAGCGACTCCTCCGTGAGCCTGTGCGGTGATCCACCTGGTTCCCCTTCCCCTGGTACAAGTCCAGCACCGGCAGTGGCTGATGCCTTCCAGGCCAAGTTCCACTCGACCGCTGCACCTGCTTCACACTGCAATGGCGGCGTGCCCAACTCTGCGCTGGTCGCGGAAGGAACTGAAGCCTCTGTGAACAGCCCTGCCGCGGGGGTGAAGAGTCTGTCCAAGAAAAATTTCGGCAGGTCCATAGGAAAGCATCCAGCGGCGACGACTACGAAAACTACGCCTGTGGCTAACGCTGGTGAGGCGATCTTATTAATAGAACATACCTTGCAAGTAAGAGATAAGCAAATGTTGATTGCATCGTAATTTTCTCAAAGCACGAATGTGGCTGGAGCTAGCAAGAACTTGTAAAGAAGATTTCTGGAACGTCAGACCTACGAGCATGTTGCTTAGAAAGTGTGACTCACTGTCGCTATTTGGAAAAAAAATATTTCGTAATTGTGAAAGGACTTGAGGTGGTAAAAGGTTCCTGGTAATATTGTCATAAGCGAGTGTGTGCTAGCCTTTTTGAAACTTCAGGGATCTCGAACGGTTTTAGCGTTTATGTGGAACCTGATCTCTTGAGAGCGGGAAAATATCGTCTTCGGTTTCACTGAAAGCTAGATTAATTTCAGACACGTAACAGACACCCAAACATTTATGTGATAGGTCTGTTTGTTAGTGGGTTACATAAGTGTCAGCTAAAACGTTCTCCTCGGAATATTTGGGAATATTTAAGGCGCCAACTTTAGTAATGTATTAAGACCTCTATATCATGAACATATGTCTGTGTACGTTTTAAATTAGACCGTCTGGTTTTGTCAAGCTCCTTGAGCCAGAAAAATTTACCATTAATATTCTAATACTTGTTAATATTTGCAGGATTTTAAGTTAATGATGCTTACGATTAGTTTATCTCCAATTTGTTATTACAGCGATAGCTGTTAGTGGGACACTTCGCGCCACCGACCGCGCTTCATATCGACGCGGGCCTTTTTCAGCACTCATCCAACACATTCTACGGGCCGCTGATGACAAGATAACAAGCAGGCAAAATAACATGCATGGCCATGCATTGTAGCAAGATAACATGCATGGTCAGTAAAACAGTCCCGGCAGGGAAATCCGACAGTGCACTGGCCCAGGTCAAATTTCAAATTTGGGGGTTTTACGTGCCAAACCTACGACGGGCATCTGGCACGCCCCAGCGGAGGACTGAGGATTAATTTCGACCACCTGGGGATCTTTTGACGTGCAATCGAAAGCTTAGTTACACGGCGCCTTCTCCGCAATAAGCCTCCGTCATATTGCGGGCACGTGGCCCAGAATTAGCACAAACAACAATTCTCGGGAGATGCGCAGATAAAACTGCCTTAGAATTTTACGATGCATTCTGTATAAGAAAGTAAGAAAAAAGCAGATGTGTTAGTGCCGTGTCAATACACCTGACAGATACAGTTTGATGTTCTAAACGAATAGCCAGAAAGATGGCGTTAATAGTATATGTTTGTTTCAATAAACCTTCATTTGAGGGTGCGCTCCGTCTTCTCCAGTTTCGTGTCCTTGGTTTTTCGAAGATTTTCGCTTATCACATGTGACTATTTGTACAAAAGTAACATACGAAAACCCGCTCCCTTCTCACGCAGACAGCTGAAATTCTCTCTACTTAATACACCCTCGCTGGTTCCAAAACGCTATGGAATTTTTGTACGGTATGTTCCTCAGTTTAACACGAAACATCTATGCGGGACTCTATGGTGCGCGCTCGCACATTTACCGTTCATTCAGTTCATCTGCTCCGAAATGACACGTTAGCCGCTCCGACGTCACACCTCAGCTGTCGCTGTGTTTCATCTCACAGGTTGCGTAAGTGTTTACAATTTTTGTTAGCTTATTTGGAACCTTTTTCGCGCTACGAACGATTCTTTATTTCCCAATTTTATTCGCCCACTGTTGCGGGGAACCTGAAAGTACTATCAGATTTTGTGGACGTTGGGAAAAGGGCTATGTCAAAAGGATATAAAAATATGTCTTTTTGATTTGCTTCCAGCACCAAACTCCAGTGATGTAGTAAGGTCCGGTCTCCCAAGGTCTTCCCCATCGACGGATACCTTAAGCAGAAACGCTTCCAAGTCTACAAATGGTGGAGGTTCGCGCCCAACGAGCACTGGCCACGAACTGAGTGGCCAGGTCGCCGTGGGAAAAAGTAGCAGCTTTCAAGACAGCAACATCCACAGCTCAGCCACGGACGACAAACAGTCTGATATGAATAATGGCACACCCAACCCGGGCAGCGGAATACCAAAGCCTACGGCAGCCGTCAAGGGTACATCGAAGCATTCGCGAGAAGATCTCAGCGTCTTATCGACGCTTCCGCCCGAAAAACCGGAGAAGCCGGACAAGGCCAGAGAAGACGCCAACCCAATGACAACGATAGCGACGTCCGAGTCCATGGCATCACTAAAATCACCGGGCTCCAAGGAACATGTCCATGCCCAACAAGACCAAGTGACTAGCCAATCCACTGGCAAGCCAGAGACGCAACACAAGAACGACCGTTCCAAGAAGAACTCGCAACAGAACGTCAGCATCGCCATGGTCTCGCCGATCATGAGCACGCAGCATTCGCTAAGCAAGGATTCCATCACGTCTTCCACTGAGTCCTCAACCGCGACGTCCATCATCTCCAAGAAGGAACCGCAGGACAACAAGGACACCAAGGGTTCCCTCGTCGGCGGCATGGAGTCGACCATCAAGTCCGTCTCAGCCGAAACGAAGCCGGTCCCCAAGTCGAACGCATCCGAAGCCAAGGACGGAGATGAGGTCGAAGACGCCCTGGCCAACATCCAGCCGATGCAGCCGCTGAACAGGGCGTCACCTTACGGCGGCTACGCGAGGAGTCTGAGCGGTCATCGGGCGGCCCGTCTGCCGGCCTGCCTGCGTCTCCAGGCGGACGTGCATCGCGTGGCAAGGCACATGATGGCAGCCTCGCAGGACATTGCCCGGTTGTACGGCGCCCAGAGGGTAGGCACGGCCTCAGACTACGCCGAGCTCACGGCGGGCTACGTGAGCGACGGTGACGTGCTCAGGGCTCCGACCGCCGAGGAAGTGGCTAGCGGCTACATGAGTGAGGGTGGGGCATCTCTGTACGCCCGTCGACCCGTCAGGTGTCCCGTCAAGGATCCCAAGCTGGTCAACGTGCTTCAGGACGACAGGTGAGGACTCCCCGATTTACCTTTGTTCTTCTGACTGCTAGCTGCTTCAACCATAACGTTGAATCGTTAGCTTGCAATATTGGTCAGACCTTTATGTGTGAGTAAATAAACTAGAAACGTCAAAGCTGTTGAGAAAATGAAATTCATTAAATGAAGTGAGTCTTGAAAGAAATTATAAGGCTTTTAAAAAACGCCGACCTTAGAGTTTTTTGTGAGACAAGTTATTTTATTCGATTCACTCAAATGGTCTCATTATGCTGAGTCATTGGTTTGTTCTTATTGTATGAGACACCTTAACTTTGAAAAATGTATCTCCTGTATGACGCATTATGGTGCTTTTGGATGTACGACAGGTTTAAAGAAAAGTAAATTCCTCTAACGAGCATTTATTTTCTAAATGTGATTTTGAGACAATGAATCTATAATGGGACCTAGCGTGCGTTACATCCTGACGTGTCGCTTAAGATAGCTAACTTTTTGTTTAAATTACATGTTTACTTTTAAGTTTTCATTATCCCGTGCAGTTGAACTATTATTCATTTTACGTCACACTTGTCCTGCCCTAAATATATATCATCTTAGAAAGACTCTAGGTCTTATTGCACAAAGAATTTCACACATTAATCATTTACAAGATGCACTTATAATGTAGTTCTTGTGTACTGCCTTTATTATATCTAGACCTCAGTTCTTTCATAAATATATTGCACGGTCGTGCTTGTATAAAAGAAAAGTTTCGCATGTGTCCTCAAGCAATGCATCGCCGCTCCGCACATTGTACGTGTACCAGAGTTTGACATTCACGAGAAGTTGTGAACCATACAACGAACAGTGTGTAAAGGGTAAAAAGCAAACAGACTTTACCCGCATTCTTCGAACTGCAACGTAATGCTCGGGTTGCTTTAACGGGCACTATACGTGGGAAAGCAGCGACACTATCCGACGTGGAGTGCCCTAGAAAGTCTGCGATGAATTACTTTTGCTTGGAGATGAATTTCATAAAAATGGTGGGCTGTCATGCTATTTTGAAAGCAAAGTTCCAATTGTATTTTCGACATCGCCACTGCGCGCATGGTATGTCTACTAAAACTAGACATCTACAAGAAGTTAGGAATCACAGAACGCACAATGTTTAAAAACAAACCAAACCAGCCTACAATCTCCGAGCTGCATTGCAAGCCTCGGGTTGTTTTGACAATGAAAATAAGAGGGAAAATGGCGACACTATCCGATATGAAGTGCACTCGAACATCTACGATGCCTTCCGCTTAAAGATGGATATCATAAAAATATTACTCTGTCATGCAATTATAAAAGCAAACGTTCTCAGCCACTGCGTGCATGGTACATCTACCAGAGTAAGACATCTACGAGAAGATAGGACCCACACAGCAAAGAACGTTTAAAAACAAGCCAAACCAGTCCACATTCCCCGAACTGCATTTCAAGGCTCGGGTTCTTTTGACAGTGACAATAAGCGGTAAAAGGACGACACTATCCGACGTGGAGTGCCCTCGAACGTCTACGGTGCTTTTGGCCGGAAGATGGATCGGCGACCCCTTGGCGAAACTCGATCCGGAACCCCTTCGCCTCGCTGTCCGTGGAATGGGCGTTGGGTTCCCGCCATTTATCACGTGCCAAGGATGGCTGTCACGTGACCCTCGCCCTCAATCTTCGCCAACTTATTCCTCCGAGCCTCCCAAGATTTGAGGGAAATCTTCCAGGAACGTGTAAAAGTACTATTCCAACGGTCGAGTCTGAGCAGTGACAGTGTTTGTGGCAGTTCCTTTTAAGTACTTTCTGTTTCTCTCAAATTCAGCTTCTCGTTTCGCCTATGAGTTGCTTAGGGGGCATGTTTATTTATTTATTCATTTATCTATGTACATACACTCAGGTCATCGGCATTTTAGAGGGTAGCGGAAACAACAGATACAGTTCTGGTCTTGTTAATATGGACCGCGTCAATATGAATACCCCGCTATATCTACACCCTTTTTGGGGACAAACGGAATTTTTTTGTCTCGTTATTATGAACACCTCTCATTATGAACAATTTTTGAGGGGAGGGGGGGGGGGGGGCAGAGGTGTCCCTGTCAACGAGACATTACTGTATCGATGAAAAAACAAGGCAGTAATTTTACACTTATTTCACGTAGGTTGAAAACAGTGAGGAGTGTTAACGTTTTTAAACAATTGATCATTAACAATATGTGCAATTAGAAGCCGGAACGTGGATCCATTATTAGGGGGAAAAAGACGCTGATAGGTAGAATGGTATTTTAGAGCTCCTAAATGCGCTTCTTCACAGTATCGACATTTGAGCCATCTTACTGCTTCTAAACTTATTGTGGCTGGTTGTCTGAACCTTTACCTGAAATCACAGGAAGCGCTTTTCCGTCCTCCAGGAATACTAATACAGTCCTCGAGAGAGCAAAACGTCATCGCCTGAGCTTCCTGACGCCGCATCTAAAGTTTCTGGATCTCGTATTTTTGGATCGCGACTATCGCCAATTGCATCCACTCTGCACATAAGGCAACAAAATGGCGGCGCACGCAAGACAGTCGGGGAATGGAGTGTCCTTACTCTGGAACGTATAGCTTATGTAGTGGCTCTAGCATTACCCTGTACCCATCAGAACAAGTCGCACGGTGTGCTTATTATAAGAGAAGGTTTAGTACATCATTTGACAACCTTCTTGTTATTACACCCTTTACAAATTTGATAACTAGACATTATCAATCAATCAATCACTTTTAGTCAAAATAAACCTATAATAAACATTGCACAAACGCATCTGGGTCCGTAGCCTTCTTGGCTAGTGTTGGATTCTTTCAAAATGTACACAAATAAATAATGCGGCGACTAGCTGGCATTCATGCATGTGCCATACAACAAATATTTCTTGCTCGAACATTTTTTTAATATATATATAAAGCTTTTTCAGTGTACTTTTGAACGTTCTACCATTCTTTGGCCACGCACATTATGAGACAATGGAATGTTACAATTGTTTACGTGAACATTTCTAGTTACTCTACCTCAGTGAGAAATTATACTGCATGGTAATGGTGTATCCGTTGGTTTTGAAATAATGTGGCAGAATGAGCATTAATTGGTGTATTGGCTAATATTCTCATCGCTCGCTTTTGTAAGGAATTATTACATAAGTTCATTCTCCAGCAGCGCTATGTTTACGACTTGAGTAGATTGTAAATGGAGCTCCAACCTCCTCGAGTAAAACAAGGAACAGTTTTACATACGCTACGAAATAGACTATTTTGGTTCTGACCGGTTTGTACTACTTCTTAAACTCACTGACTCTATTGTCTTCCTAACTTTCCTTGTACTAAGAAAACACACCTCTAAAAGCGAGGCCACGAGAGTCGAACGTTTCTCCCCTGATGAGGAACTGTGGATGTGCAAGTGAAGCAGGTCAAGCATTTCTTTACGGATTTACGTTTTACGCACAAAAGCGCTCTGTCGCTTCCCCCTTGCACGGATGAGTGCGCGTGCGCGAAGGTAATGCACTTGAGGATAGATAAATGAACGCACTTCCTGCATCCATGGTTCTGTATAGTGCGCGAAATGTCTCTCTTAAAACTCTTATTCTTCTCAACCTATATCCGTGTTGTGGGAGACGTGCGCGCGGGAGTTTTATGTTTCTTGTTCAAAAGGTGTATGAGGTCTTTTTATTTATTTACTTCGGTTCTCAAGGTATCTAACGTGCACCATTCACTTAAGATTTGTATTTCCGCCCGGTGCAATTGCACGTTTATATCATAGGTAAGTGTCAAAGACATCGAATATAGCACTGGTTGTACCTCACTTTGAAATCTCTCAAAGTAACAGCTGTTCACGGGGAACCCGTGAGAACGCAAGCAAGCTGGAGCAGCTCTGGCTTAATGAGGTTTGGAACGCCTATCACGAGAAAAGAAATCACAAATCACTTTCAATCAAGCAGTTTCATATTCGTGACATACTATGTATCTTCGCTAAGGAGTATATTTTTCGTTCGATTTGCATCGTGAAATCGGTCAGTGATACTGGGGATAAGATGTCTATTTAATTAGTCACTTATCTACACAAAAGTGGTCTGCTGTTTCGGTAAGCTTTGTGAGAGTATGACATTAAGCAAACAGAACGTCAAACAATAGGGTCCAGAGTAGCAAAGAAACAAAAAGCATCAGTCGGTTTAAACATCACAGTGAAAAAAAAACCTTTAAGGAACGAGTTATTTTACGTATTCACGTGCGAAATTACAAGAGTCAACTCGTGTACTAATTACAGAATTGTTGCTAATTTATTTATGTAACTACATATTTATTTAGAATACAGTGCAGGCTTTTTTCAATGGAACCAGGCAGGTGTTGAGAACAAAAAGCAAAGCTAAGAGGAATACATAAAACAAGAATAAATTTTATTCACCAGTTCATGTTCATATAAACATGCGTATTAAAAAAATAAATACAAACAAAGGAGTAGTTACAGTGTCAGCGTAACCAACAATCAGTCAGTTGATACAGTTCGATACAGTTCAGTTAGGACAGTTCGACACCACTATTTCCTCCAGTCTCCAGAACAAACTCTTTCAAGCTGATTTGCAGTGGCGCGTTCTCTGCCCTACAATCTATTATCTTCTTATATGGCTATTCTTTGATTCGTTTGGGTTACAATGCGAAACACTCGACTTGAATGAGGCCCCGTGTGTAGAGGCAGACCATCGCGTCGGGCAACACAAAACAAACGCTTTTGTTGGCCCGGAGCCCAGCGAAATTTCCGGCATTCTGTCTGCTCTGAAAGCGCTTTCCTTCCATCGTACTATTAGATTCGGGGATTTTTTTGTTGCAGTTGTTGTTTTACCGCAGAAGCGGTAAAGAAAATAAAGTTTGAGTCACTCAGAGAAGCGGAATGGTCGTGAAAAATAAACAAGAAAGAAATATATACACGAATCGAATGTCTTTTTTATGGCCAAGAAACATTTCGGATCTACGTATATAATGGAGTCCCCCTCTACGTCAAGGATACTGACTTTTCATTGTGAAAATGGTACGCGATAAATGTATGTATACAAAAACAAGATCATGATGTCGGCGAACCGCTTCTTTCATCGCCTACTAGCATTGACCGGTCCAGAAGCTGAATTATACGCCGAAACTGCGATAAAATGCCGAAAAGGTTTGACATATTCGTGGCTTTCAAGCTTTGCTTAGCTTGTGGAGACTGAAGAAAAGACAGCCGCTTCACTGGTGTCTACGCCCGTTCTACCCCGCGCTCGTCCTGAGCGCGAGCTAGTTCGGTCTGCCTCACGAGGCATCTTTATACTTCTTCTTTTCGATCCCCACATCATCCCCCTCTTGGCAGGGGGGGGGGGGGGGGCAGGGAGTTTCCTAATCAGTTGGTTACATTTCGTCGTCGCTGAGTCTGATGTTCGCCAGTTCTGGTGGTAAGGGTAGTGTTCGGCGCAGGCGTTCGGGGCAGGCACGGCCAACAATAAGGAGGGCGGCCTCGATGTCGGCAGGTGTAAGGGCCCGTGATTCAGCTCGCACCAGCGCCCGCTGGCGGTCTTCTCGGTCGTGGTGAAGTGCTCCTTGATGATGTTGTTCGCATGAAATGAGTGGGACGCGGCAAAGTTCACAGATGTCGGCATATTCTTCCTCGTCGTAGGCGGCGGGTAGATCTGCAGCACAGCGCTCCGTCAGTGTCCGTCGCCGGAAGGGATGGGGAACGTCTTCTGGTGCAGTCCCTTGTGGCACTTGAGGTTGGGGAACCATCTTAAAGTCCCAGTGCGTTTCCGGAGGGGTACTTACATTGCTCATTCTTGAGATGAAGTTTGATTAATGCAATAACATATTAAAGAAATTTAAAAAAAAAAAAATCAAACGCGAAGATGTGTCCATGTGAATTATGTCCTTCAATGGGTGAAATATCCATTCATGCCATGGTGTGGAGTTTGCAGCTTTGGTGTTATTCTGTTTATCTGACTTCATCTTGGAGGTTTTAATCTAACACGCTTTTCTATTTCAGTCAATGTTAAATAGCGCTCGCTCCGACGATACAGGCCAAGCGTACAGTTCAGATGTTTGAGTCGCAAAGACCGCCGAGAAGTCTAGCCGACCCTTCTTTCCAGACTCGCTAACTTGAACATTGTGCGACACAATTAATGCGAACTACGTTTATAAACCTGTCACGATCTTAGCCGATATCGCATGTATGGGCAGATCTGAGTCGCTTATCCTCTCTTGAACCTTCTGTCACACAAAATAGCAGCTTGAATGTCAACGGAAGTCTTTCAGCCGAAATTCATTTATTTCTTTGACATAGCTTAGCTTTTCAGATCTCCAAAATCATAAACTTCCTTTGTGTTCTTTTTTTTTTTTTTTTTGGTTATGAATAATGACATTCCACGTGCTTCAAATATCTTCTGACAAACAGAGTCGGGAGCACACGGTTAGGCTATGTAAAAATAACTGTTGGGTGTGGTGGAAACCATATTTCGGCCCGAGGAGGCCAGAAATATGACAGCAACAAGCTCATAAAAAGCGCCATCAAAAAGGGACACACCCTTCTCTAGTCAACGTATGTGTAAGTATAGAAAAAATATGTAAATATTTTATTCTGGTTTTGTTTTCCTATAATCCCTGTTGTGTTTCTTTGCTTTTTTTTTTCTGGTGTTCTACTTTTGATTGCTATCTTTTTTTCTTCTTTTTTTTTTCATTATGGTGGCATGATTACATTACAAGGCTCTAACACATTGTGTTTCAAGAACACCTCTGTTCTACCTTGCTGTTGCTCTGTTTTGTTTAGCTGTCCGTTTGTGTTTAGAAGTTCTTAATTTTTGCACTATTTTAATTTGTGTTTTGTGTTCGCTCCCTTTCACTTTTTCCTTGTTCGCCTCTCTTCTCTATATCTCATTCTCTTTCTCGTCTGTGCTTTTCTATTTTATTTGCTTCCTCTTTCTGTTTTCTTCTATCGGTCCTTCATCATCTTCCTATTTCTCTGTCTTTTTCTACCTTTCTTTCTCGCACCGTTCATCTTTTCTTTATTTTACTCATCTTTATATTTTTATCCCTCTTTTCCTATAATTATCTCACTCTCTCGTTCTTTCCTGATCTTTTTCTTTTTCCTCTCTCTCGTTCTATCTTTCTTCACGTCTTTCTTTCTTTTCCCCTTTCTCTTTTTCTTTTCCCTTTTTCCCCCCTTCTCTTTTTGGTTCCCAAACACGTTGAACGGGATTCACGGATGGATCGCCACTTCCGTTCACGCAGCCACTGCAGCGCCACCTTGATGCACCCCAGTGTCCGCCATCTGTGTGCACCTCGTAAAGGGTGAGTGCCGCACAATGACCGCTACAAGTAGCACCTAGAAGGCAAGGCCTGCGCGTGACGTCGTCATTAGTGGACCCCCGACACGTCCCCAAGCTGCAAACGCAGACGAGTGCGTGTTGGAGTGTCGCCGTCTGCTAGCATCCCGCTCGTTGTAAGACGCTGCAAACCATGCTGGCGGTGACGGTGACGCCAACTAGGCGACGTTGTCTGGATCCACTAGTGATGACGTCAGAGCAGGAAAGGTTCAGGCCTTGTCTTTTAAGTAGTGCTGCCGATACGAGCAACATCGCAGCTGTCCATCAGCGCTGATGCAACGGATATGTTTCTTCCTTGAGACTAACCCATCCAAGCGCCGAACCAAACATTTACTGTAAAGTGAATGAATAATGAATGCTTTGAAGCTCGAAGCGGATACGTCGTGAACAAGCTTGAACCGAGGCTCGAGCCCCTGTCGCAAGGGTCAATATAGAAGGCTTCGTAACCCTGACTACTGCTTTAGGTCTATCGGGTTGTTTACGGTCAATCTAATTAATACGGAAGAGCTGAAGTTGGACGCAGAAACTCTTTCAGGTTTGCAACGTCGTTGATCGCCTTGATGGTGTCAGGATCGCAAATGTTTCCTTGGGTTTTGTACATACCGGATGTCTCTGTGAAGACTTTGAAAACATGCAAAAATACTCCAAAAGCCGGGAGACGTCATAATTAAAATAAGAACGCCGACTTGACATAACCGAAAGCTTCTAGAATCGTGGTTTCTTCGCAGGGACACATCCGTGTGCAACAAAAACCGCGGCCCTCTCCACGAAGCTTACACGGACATTCGTGATAAATAGCGTGGAGTTTAGGTTGAACCCTGCATTTGCTGTGTAACTACTGATGATGCCTCCCGCACGGGAGGCGAAACGTCTAATGAAGTTGATTTTTCAGTTATGTCAAGTCGGCGTTCTTATTTTAATTATGACTTTGAAAACGCTCATGATTCCCGTTTTCGCATCGCTGGCCTCGCGTTTCTGACCTGCTTCAACGCGTCCTAAAATTCACCGATTTATGGATGTCTGCCGCGACACTCAGCAAATTTCTAATTAGGACCATTCGTTTATTTTTTACTAATTAAAAAGTTAATTAGTAAATTTAAGGAAATTATTTCGCTGATTAGTTGTCATCTTCGTCTGCTGGGATGTGGAACGCGTTCTGAGCATGCGCAGAACCTCTTTTCTGCACTATACCAGACGTCGCGCGGTCGTCCACAGCTCATTCAAACTTTTCGCTGGGGTGATATGCACAGGGAAGATGAAAACGCTTCAATTGAAGCATCTTATGCGTTTCGTTTACCTATTGCCTCGGTTAACAACCCCCGAAACGGCAAGGCCCCCCCCCCCCCCCCCCCCCCCGCCGTTTCGAGTGAAGCAAACTCAGTCGCCACGTTGAAATATGGCGTCACTCGTAATTGGGTTAGGCGGGAAAGCCTAAACGAAATAGTTTCAGCATAACTGCAATAAAAAAAAGTATAGTCAAGAAAGAAGAACACTATTGGCTCGAACCTCTTGAGTTCTAGTGATTTGCTATTTTGCCCCAACTCAGCCTACGTCAGAATTCACCATAACGACCACCACGGAAAAAAAAAAAAAAGCGGTCTGTATTCTTTCGTTTGTTGCGTTCCTTATCAAGATAGACAAAATGTCCTCTTTTCAATACTCGGCAACGCGACAAACTTACAGTACTGCTAAATAGGCCATACGCTTCAGAGTAACACCATTTGAACCATCTTGGTGTTAAAATCGTTGGTGGCAGTTATCCGATGCTTCATTTGAAATCGCGAGAAAACGGTTTTCTGTCCTCCAATGATTGCAAAACAGTCCGCGACAGCGAAAAACAAAATCGTGTGAGTTTCCTTGCACCACATATGTAAATCTCTGGAAGGTCGCATTTTAAAAATCGTAACGATCGGCTACCGCACCCGCACTGCACCAGTCACAAAAATGGCGGCGCCGTGAAGACAGTCGGAAAATGGAGTATCCGTACTCTAAGCTTATTCAGGGTCTCTGGGTAAACTCGCACGCTGCCACGGTCTCGATAACGATATGAAATTTCCCAACATTGTCCTGCTCCGCCTCGAAACGATGACGAAACGACGGATCAGAAAGCGGTATTTTTCGAAGGCGGACATTTGCATAACCCTATCAGCGGCTCCAAGGCGCGGGCACTTCGATTGATTCGGTGTTTAAGATGCACTCAACGGTAGTCGCTAAGGACTAGAAGATTAATTAGCTCATTTGGGAAACTGCCTGATAATTTACCCGGAGGGGTGGCTCGCTAATTAAAGCAACTCCGATGCTTTTTAATTGGACTGTCTGCCTAACTGTTATTAATAGCTCGCGTTGATTTTATCGGTCGAATACTTTTTCTCGATGAATGTGTAAGAGGCGTGATAAGAGCTTAGCTCGAGTTCTGTAAGTTCTGTAATTGAAAGCATTCCTCTTTTCTCTTCGCCACAATTATTATTCCCTCCTCGATTCTTTGAGATGCTTGTGGGTTGGAGTTTTGGCACTAGTCTTTGTTCAGGGACGAAGAGGCAAGTTCACTGGAAGAGTTCGGTCGCTGTCAAAGTGCTTGGAGGCTCAAAAGCCATGTAGTGTCAGTTCACAAAACTTTACAAGACAGTAGCAACTTCGTGAGGCTAAGCCTTCAGGAAGTTGCTAAAGGATAATGTTTAAAAAATGAAACACTCCCAAGATATTTTTGCGATCTTTTCAGTTCTTGGCACTTTTGCGAAGAAACATGCAGCCTACCTTAGTGAACAATTGACAACTAATTAGATAATTCCCAACATATGCAGCATGGTGCAGTAGGTCTATCAATGAACTCGAAAATGATCCTCTTTGGAACGCAACTTTCAGGATCTTGAAAAGTCATAGTTGTCTATGTTATGCTAAGTTTGTTGGTTTTTCATTTTCATTTTGCTTACTTTCCAGTACTGCATTTTAGTTCCTAAATTACGGTCTCTTAGCCACTGAAGTCTAATGTACGATACATGTATAATCTTATCACAGTGTCCTTATCAATTAAGGTAATATTGTCACACAAATTATAAGCCTAGTAATTTTATCATGCCGAAATCTAATTACAGCGACCTTATCATGCAGCAATCTAGTCACAATAATTAATTCTGTAGCAACCTAATCTCTCTAATCTTGTCATGCAGCAACCTAATCTCTGTAATCTTGTCATGCAGCAATCTAGTCACATTATTATCGCTGCAATTCAACAAGATTAATCTCGCCACTAGTCTTGGATTTGTGCGAAACGAACTATCTAGCTGGCTTACGTCTGGCCTGCTAAGCTCAGTCGGAAGGAGGCCATTATATGTTTTCATTGTAAAATTAAGAGATTGTAGAGTTTGATATTGTGCTGTTATTGCAATACCTAACGTTTTCATACTTTAGTATTTTTTAGGCTTCCCAACATTGTCCTCATCCGCCTTGTTGTTGATGTTTTTTTGCATTACATCACATTACATACCTATTTTCTTGAAAATCCAGCGGCCACTGAAACATAGTTACCATCGTTAGCGAAGAACCAGTAACGAGTAACTGGTAACACTTACGGAGTAAAGATAACAAATAACGGGTACTAAGTGGTAGGGGACAAGTAATGGGTGGCAACTAGTGAGTAATCGAGTAATGAGTAATGAGGTGACAATTAACCAGGTTCCAAGGAAGTAGTCAATTAATAATCAGCTGTATAGCGACACGGTAATGAGGCTAAAGCTTGATTATATCAACTGACTCCTGCTGTGGATTTGTTGTTTTCATCTGGCCTGCTAGCTCAGTCGGTTAGAGCGTCGTGCTAATAACGCGAAGGTCACAGGTTCTATCCCTGTGCAGGCCAAAGCCTTTTTATTACATCATTCTTAAGAGATGACTCTGCAGAATTTAATATTGTGCTATCGGTGCTTGGCTTTTTCATACTTTTGGTATTTTTGTGAGGGTTATAAACTCCATGACATACTATTAATGAAAAAACAGTTAGGGCGCGGGCGAGCTGGTGTAAGTTTACCATTTTTTAGACCACCTGAGACTGGGTTGGAGAAACACGACGACGTCTCGTCTTTTTGAGACGTCATCGTGTTTCTTCCACCCAGTCTCAGGTGGTCTAAAAAATGGATGACATACTAGTTTTTCGTGGGTTTTTTTTATGAGCCAGCAGCCATTGAAATGTAGTTAATATCTTTACCGAAGAACCAGTGACGAGTAACGGGTAACGATTGCGGAGTAACGGGCACAAGTAACGTGGGCACTAAGGTGGTGGGTGGCAGCTAGCTAGTGAACGGGTAACAAGTAATGAGGCGCCAATTAACCGGGTATCAAAGAAGTAGCCAACTAGTATTCAGCTAAATAGTAACTAGATAACGAGGTTAAAGCTCGACGAAATTGCTAGAAACGAAAATATGCATGCGAGGTTGTTTTTGCTTCTTTTTTAGATTATAATGCTCGATTGAATTAATTGACTTCAGCTCGCCTTGCCCATGTCATCTGGCCTGCTAGCTCAGTCGGTTAGAGCGTCGTGCTAATAACGCGAAGGTCACAGGTTCGATCCCTGTGCAGGCCAGTTTTTTTTTTTCTTTTTATCTGTTTTTTTTTTTTTTTTAAGTTTACCGGCACCTCATTCTTTTACTACACTGAAATGGCGGTTCCCTTTTCAGTTATCTGGTAGTCATGATATTATTAATAACATTAGGGAGTTTTAGCGAGTCGTTTTTCGAGCACACAGTTCCGAAATCACGAACGATGCAGCTGGTCCGTTCCGTGAAATTGTACGTGAAATTTGACATGTTTTAGCGAATCGTGAAACTGGCGCAACCGTGTAAACGATGATAATAATAGTGTTTGACGGTGCCGCCATCTTCTAGTAAACATGTGAAACATTCTGCAACGGTGGCGGCTCGTGTTTCCTGCGTACGACTGATGTAAACAAGACGGCCGATGTAACATTTGCTGGTC